TTTAGTGACTAATTTAGGCTTTACAGGTTTACTCTTTGAATCAAAATTGTAAATTTAGTTACAGTGGCGGAGATATTTTTGACAATTGACGGAGCTACCAACAACATACTTATGGCAGATATCGGAGCATTTAGAAATGAGGATAAATATCTAATATTTAGTGTAAAAGGTTGTCGGGACGCCATGTTTATTCTGTCATCCCACGCAAAAGTATCACCTCCATATTATCATATTATCATTGGTGGATATGGCAACAAGAAGTCGATACTTGCTAGACAAATACAAGAATACAAACTTCTTAAGGAATACCTTTCTTCTGAAATGGGTTGCTCTATTTACAAGCCATTTTGGATAAGTTGGGAACGTGGTATTATTGAAGTTGGTAGAGGACATGTGATTGGTGATAACGTGTTTCTGTCTGACATTGATCACTGTCCTTTCGCTATAAACAACATTGAAATAAGCACTGGTAAAGATGGTGCAACAGTGGATTGGACTATTGTTCCTAACAGTACTAGTAAGTAATTGTTTATAATGGTTCAACACCATAGAACTATCATGTCAATTCTTAGAATGATTGTTAACTGTCTGACATGTGTTCCACCCACCTTGTCAAACTCATTCTGCAGTTAAGGTTGACTAGTGTTAATATGCGTGACAATAAATAAATAAATCAGGCCGTTGATTTTCTAGCTTAAATTTTGTCATTTCGAGGCCATTTATAGCTTTTTACGGGTTTTGGTTTTGATCATTGTTGAAACCAGTACGTCGGCCAATAGTTGCTTATATTAACATCACTTGGTCTCTGGTGTATCGTTGCCTTATTGGCAATCATACCACATCTTCTTATTTTTATATCAAAATTTCGTTACTTGTATTGTCATATAAAAGAGACGATTTCAAGATAGAAGGTGTCCTTCTGACTATGAGACATTTGATTAAAGAAAAATGTTTTATAATTAAACTAGAGGCTCTCAAGAGCCTGTGTCGCTCACCTGTATTTACTGATGCTTTGGAAATCATGTAAAATAAGGTTAAAATCATAATTAATAGTATTAGATATTATAATGATATCTAAGATAATAACAAAAAACTGCAAAATATTTGTAAAATTACTAACTCAGGGGCAGCAACCCAACAACGGGTTGTCGGATTCGCCTGAAAATTTCAGGGCAGATAAATATAAATCTGATGAACATTTTTGCCACCTGTCAGATTTGCTCTAAATGCTTTAGTTTCAGAGATATAAACCAAAAACTGCATTTTACCCCTATGTTCTATTTTTAACCAAGTCGGCCATGATGGTTGGAAGGCGGGGTCATCCGACAAATTTTTAAACTAGATACCCTAATAATGATTATGGCCAAGTATGGTTAAATTTGTCTCAGTAGTTTCAGAGAAGAAGATTTTTGTAAAAGATTACAAAAATTTACAAAAAATTGTTAAAAATTGACTATTAAGGGCAATAACTTCTAAAGGGGTCGACTAACAATTTTGGTCATGACGACTTATTTGTAGATCTTACTTTGCTGAACATTATTGCTGTTTACAGTTTATCTCTATCTATAATAATATTCAAGATAATAACCAAAAACTGAAAAAATTTCCTTAAAATTACCAATACAGGGGCAGCAGCCCAACAACAAGTTGTCAGATTTGTCTGAAAATTTCAGGGCAGATAGATCTTGACCTGATAATCAGTTTTACCCTTGTCAGATTTACTCTAAATGCTTTGGTTTCAGAGATATAAGCCAAAATCTACATTTTACCCCTATGTTCTATTTTTAGCCATGGCGGCCATCTTGGTTGGTTGGCGGGGTCATCGGACACTTTTTTAAAACTAGATACCCAAATAATGATTGTGGCCAAGTTTGGTTAAATTTGGCCCTGTGGTTTCAGAGGAGAAGATTTTTGTAAAAAGCTAACGACGACGGACGACGACGACGACAACGACGACGACGCCGACGACGACGACGACGACGGACGACGGACGACGGACGACGGACGCCAAGTGATGAGAAAAGCTCACTTGGCCCTTCGGGCCAGGTGAGCTAAAAACGAAAAAGACAAATGCTACTCAAAAGTATTTACCGAACGTGTTAACAGCATGGCAAATTGAAGGACAGCTGTTTTCCGGGAAAATTCCTGGAAGAAAATTGCATTTTAGGCGGATACTATTATTTAGGTTTAAGCCTGTTTTTTTTTTATCTGTATCTAATAACACGAAGCACATGATCATATATACATGTATATGTATACTTATAGAACCAAATACGGACAAAACATGACTCGATACATTGATGTGTTTTATTTGCCATAATTTATTCCTCATTTTGATCGTCTTTTAATCTAACGGTAAACAACACTTTACTTACTCGACACATTTCTATACCTTTTATAGCTTACTTTGCGGTATGGGTTTTGATCATTGTTGAAGACCGTACGGTGGCCTAAAGTTGTTGACTTCTGCGTCGTTTGGTGGAGAGTTGTCTTATTGGCAATCTTACCAAATCTTCTAATTTTTAGACAAAACACTACTGTAATTTGACGACAATTAATAATATGCACACTACATACACAGTATAAGATAATGGGAATTACTTAAAACATTCGACAGCACAGCAGACGTCACCAATCATCTACTTCCGGCTCTTCCTCCTACTTAAATAAAATAAAAAAGCAACAAATTTAACGCACAAACATAGACAAACGACACATAAAAACACATGCAGTTACATGTTCCGTCAATGTCAAAATTAATAAATGAAATTAAAGATTTTATTATTTCATATTTTAGATCAGACGATTACACCTCTGCAAAATAGTCCCATTAGGTCCAGAAAACTCTACAGATTGGCAAAGGACTGTCCTACTTTTGAACAGATACGGTCCATGAAAAAATATTCGAATGTTGAATGTGGATTGGAATGTATCGCAGTGAAGGACTGCTGTGGATTTCGGTATTACAAAACAAGTGGACTGTGTGGAATTGTATCTGATATAGCTACCGCTAATATTGTTACTTCTTATCATAAAAAGCAAATGTAGATGGCGCTACGATTGTTGTACATATACTGTGAACATAGACTATTGAATATATTTAACATTTGATGTAATTTTAATACTTCATTTATTTCTATAAAAACGTTTAACGCAGTACATTTCAAAATCCTCGTCTTTATACAATTCTTTCAGACACGTGATTATATCAGTTATTCCAATTACTGTTTTGACGCCATGTCTTCTAATTAACAGAGGTTTTTCGTTTAATTTCTTGTTCTATTGCGTAAACAAAGTAAAATAAAAATAAGTTAAGGATCTGATGAGATATCTAATCATGCTAATGAAGATTTGTCCCAGTGTAAATCTTATAGCAATTCTGTTATATATAACAAAAATGGTTGTTAAAAAATTGCATAATTTTCAAAAGTGTGAAGAATAAATAGTTCGATATTTAATCATTTATCCGTCTGATCAGCATTTCTTGACCGCTAAGTTACTTTCCCCGTGTATTATCCTCAGTGGGAAAGAATTCGGAAGGTATAGTGTTCAAATTTTTCGAAATTCTAAGGACTTTTTACCCCAGAAATAGATTACCTTAGCTGAATTTGGCAAAACCTTTCGGAATTTTGGGTCCCCAATGCTCTTCAACTTCGAACTTTATTTTGCCTTTTTAAATTCTTTGATTCGAGCATCACTGATGAGTCTTTTATAGACGAAACGCCCGTCTGTCGTACACAATTTTAGTCATGGTATCTATGCTGAGTTTATATACTAGGCACATTCTGGCGCTAAATGCATGTTCGGACACAGAAATGATAAATGTACAGGTTTCCAATAAATGGATAACGTGGCGAGTTTAAAATACTAGTATTCATATAACATGTTCAGGACGAAAACAATTCAATGTCATATGGCTCTTTATAGTTGCTTAAATCTAAATAATTTGGACTCGTAATAATTTACTTATTGGCAATCATACCACATATCCTAATGTTTATTTTGGTTTAATAGTGTCGTTGGATTGTTGTTTCATTGACAAATATACAACCATTTTTTTTTTATAACTATGTGGAAATTAATATTAGATTACATGTATATCGTGTGAATGATCAAAGTAAAATCGTGTTAACATTCATTAGTGACGCTCTAGTCAAACCCTCCGGTAGTTTCGGGGGTCTGGCTCAAGGATAACAGCTGTGGAAAAAGCTTAGAGGTGCAAGACTTTAAAACGCTTTTATATCTCTGTGATTTGGAAGCACTTTTGACTCTTCGAAGGCAGTATAAAGTATTTGATTGAGATATAACGAAACTAGATACACAACTGTAACAGATAATACATAAAGTAGCATGTTTTAATGAGATCAACTAATCATTGTTTGCTAAGCGTTGTAACTTGTGGTATTATACCCTGAAACACCATATAACAACATATGATGCAGCTATATTGGTTGAACTGTCATATTCTACATTTAAAAGAACTAAAAGGTAAGTTTTGATAAAAAAAAAGAAAGAAGGTGTCACACTTTTCTCTCCGACTGACCAAATGAAAGACGTACACCCAGACACAACAGTAATCACTGACATGCAATATTTTGATAGTACTGAACTCTTTCTCTTGTAAGCTGATTAATATGGGGAAAATGTTCATTTACATAAAAAGATGTCCTATTAAAATCTGTTCTGAAAAAGTACTGACTTCAATAACATTGTATTTTAGACGACAAAACACAAGTCCAATTAGATCAATGTTGAAGCATACAGTATCAAAGAATATACTCACAGATATTAAGAAAGCAAGCTTGAATATTACTTGTTCTGTTGTTATAGACATACATGTAATGCTTCTTTACACCATAATATCGACCGCTGTACTACTGAGTAGATTTCGTTTGACCAGCACAATAAGTCACAATGTTATGCAATACCAAAAGTAAGATTGTAAACAGAGTTTCACTGTAGAAAATAAAGAAACTAATTTGGTTATTCTTCAAACTGTAAAAGAACAAATCTAATATATTTATCATAAAATTAAATACAAGATAGAGCGGTTTTACTTTACGGTGTCATGTGGAAAAGAACAAATTCTGTTACTATTTGTTTTTCCTTCATTTGTTGGGGTTTTCTATATAAAGTCTTTCTATTGACATCAGATTTGTGAAATGATTAATTTTAATGCTAATGATTTATTTAAGGAGTAAATCATTAATAATTATCTTCAAACAGCATGCTCGAGTTCTGTTCCGAGTCACCTTGGAACTGGTGAAACGTCAAACTATTTAAAATTAAAAGTAAAAAGTTTTATCAACTTCGATTTCCTGTACATCACTGTAGTCTTCAATAGCACGTGTCGCTATTTAAACAAAAATGTCACTGCGTCATAAGGTCCACAATTTATAACCTACTTTGTGTCACAACTAGTCTTTCATTGAAAGCACTGCCTTTATAGCTATAAGTTCCTTCTGGTACTTTTGTCATACCTATGTTTATCATAGCATAGTCAATCAGGTCTATATCCTCATTGCATCGAACATCAATCGTAAACACATCAGTAACATGTTCCAAAACAATCCGTAAATGCAGGTTGATATGTTCTAATAAAGTACTTCCGATTTTACCATATATATCAAGCTTACAGAAAGTTTCGCCGTTCAGTAAACGAAAGTAACTGCAGAAAGTTAAAAGTGTTTTATCAAAGATTTCTGGGAATGAAATAACTGCGCTCGTTCTTTCCATCAGTATCAATGGTGCGTTTTCCTGATAAATATGGTACAACACTGAGTCAACTGCCAGTCGGCCATCTTTGAACACATTCGGATATTTTTCTTTCGAAGCAATAATTTTTCGGAAATTCACTTCGTCCAATAGAGTTGTAGAGGAACAGTCATTTTGAGACTTTTGAATACTTTTCTTCACAGAAGTTTTTGATCCAGCATAAAATGTACATTTCTAAAATAATAAAAATATATATACATTAAATCCTTTAAATGCAACCAATATTTAAATCAGACACAAAACTACATAAAATAAACTGCATGTTTTAAGTTCCTCAATGTTTACAAATGCTTCATAAACCCTTAAAAATCATAATACAATGTATCATCGACAAATCAGTTCTAGTACCTGACGGTAAATTAAATCGTCGAAAGAACTGAATGAGCGTTTTTATGTGACGTGCTTGCCTCGAATGTGTGATATAGTTATCCCTAATCCCGCGTCTTGGTCATCTTAAGCCTTTAAAATTGGGAAATGCCTCTTTTCGATCAAGCACGTGACCTTTAGGAGCATGCATTAACAAAGACTGGTTGATCCAGCATCATCAATATTTGTCAGGACAGGAAGACCAGACTGTCTGGAGAATGTTACTTTGAGAGCTACCACGTTTAAATCGGACTAAGTGGGTTAGTCTAAAACAACAAACGGTATATTCCTATCACATAAACATATCGTCCAGAATATAAATGCAATATCTGCCGCTGGACGTTAAGCAGTCATTAATCAATGAATGAATAAACAATCAAAAACATAGGTGTAAAAATGTTTTTTCAGGGTAACAATAACTTTTTTAGGGAGGGTTTGTCGCTCGCGAACATTTTAAATGCCGCCACATTTTGTAAGTGTATGTCCAAAGGCAAGAGCCTGTTATTCAGTGGTTGTCGTTGGTTGCTGTCTAGCATATTTTGTTTTCGTTTATAGATTAGTACATAAATCAGGCCTTTAGTTTTCTCGTTTGAATTGTTTTACATTTTGTCATGCATGTGGCTTTTATAAGCTACCATACGGTATTTTATTTGCTCATTGTTGAAGGCCTTGTGGTGACCTATATATTCTTATATCTACGTTATTTGTTCTCTGTTGGATAGTTGGCTCATTAGCAATCACACCAAATCTACTTATTTTTATATAGAACATAACAGCTCTACGCATGGTACCACAACTATAGCCAGTCGAAAAGGAAGGCTGACCAAATGTATGTTATAGCGCGAGTGGAATACTACTGTTAGTTAATCCGACTATCACTCTTGACACACATATGGCAATGTGTTGTTTACAGTATTTATTTAATAAAACAGTGTACTTATTATCTTGAAAATGGAAAGAGCTAAAAACTATTTCTAGAATTTCACATTGTAGTGAGTTAAAAAAAAAATATTATGTAGTATTAGAGCATTTATTCTATTTAAACAAATGTTTTACTAATAAGGCCATGTAAAATAAATGCTATGTTAAACAGGCCAATTTTAAACTTTAACCATTACAGAGGCATAGAAACCATAATTTCGCCGAAAACAGAAAGCAAAACATTTGACCCCCCCCCCCCTTTTAAAATACAAATTTTTGGTTTTATAATCATCTCATTTCAATATTACAAATGATTATAAGGGCAGGGTTTTATACAGTAAAACATTAATTTTCTTGGCCTTATACATTACATACACGTGCTGTGATAAAGGTAAACCCTCCTCGTTCCAGTCTTTGGTAAACATCTTTGAACTGCATTGCTGTTGCGAAAACTATACGTTTAAGGCCTCTTATTTTCATTTTGAGATCCTCAAGAACGTAGTCGGCAAATTGTTCATAAAGATTAAAACCTCTAAATTCTCTTCTCACTCGCCCTGACCGATAAGATGCAGTTTCTCCATTGTCTATTATGACAATTTGAACAAAATCCTATCTACAATAGTAAATGTAAATTATTTTTCAGCGCCTTTGCTCTCAAAATTTATATTCACTTTTGTATACAACTGTTTCCTGCATTTTGTGTTAGCTTTTACCAGATTAGGATATTCATTTTCAAAATCCTCCTCCTACCCCCTCTAAATCAGATGGTAGTCCCTTAAGTACATGTATACAATAAAGATTTTGCAAAAAAGAGACTAGTCATGTAACATTACAGGACAGCAACACAATAACACACGAAAAAAAAATACATGTAGGATGAAATTGGAAAATCATTGATCGTTTTCAGATAAAACCTATAACTCGTATAAGTACGATGAATTCTTAGCCTCTTCTTATCTTTTGAAAAGTATCCACCAAAGCGAAAGGCTATTTGATTACTTAAGACTTATGGTAGGGTAAGTATAATCTGATGGCAAATCAACCTACACGACGGCATTACATTGGAATGGTATATTCCTGAAGAAATTTTTTTTTATTTTCTTCAATAAATTTATATTTACTTTAAGACATGCCAATTTGAAATCTAAATCAATTTAAAGCCTCGTATTGACACATGACATTCCGAAATCTACCTACTACTAAAAAATTATAAATAGCACTCTGATTTTCTGATATTTTCAGTGAGTATAACATGTACCACATCTACTTTTAAACTGTAATGCAAATACATGCACAAATAGTTGCGCTCAAAATGGTTAAACTGTATTTCACATTCAGCCAAAATTTCATTCGTGGATTGTCAGTTGCTATTGCCACATGTGAAGCAGGATCTGCTAACCCTTCCGGAGCACCTGAGATCAACCCCGGCTTTTTTTGAAATGGCGTTGTCAGTTTTTTTATTGGCTAATAAGTATGAATGTTCCTTTAGTATCTTTCGCCTCTCTTTTAAAGAAACAACACCATGCATCAACATCACTTTCCTGTTATCAGAGTAGGGCCCCTTTTAAATATGTTCTGAATTTGAGTGGGTACATTGGTGGTTCGACACCACCTCAGTGACCTACTTTGCAGAACCTACTTAATATGAATATGCATGAAAATTTTGCCACTGGGTGTCAAGTTAATTATTTGCACTTACTATTTTATCATCGACTAAGCAGACGTATGGATAGCAAAGTTGATTTTTTATAAGTATATGAAAATAATCAGACAAATAGTCTTCTTCGTTTTCGCCGTCTTGTAGAATAGATATGACGCCATCATAGTCTTCGGCTGTTGCCCGTCTCACCCACCAGTTAACACCTAACATATCTAGCTACTATAATTGAAATAAAATTGAACGTATGAAAGTAAATGGAAATGCGGGGAATATGTCAATGAGACAGCAACCCAACGAGACAAACATGCTTAACTGTTAAGACAAATGTTTGTCAATATACATGAACAGTTATCAAATAATTAACAACTGACTATACAGGCTATAGATTAGTGTAGGATAGGTTTAAATGTTGCTATGCGAATGAATTCCTGGAGTACCAACTTCAACTTATTTTTCTACTGGCTGTATATTACCTTTCTGGAACAAGCCAAGTATCCGTATATGTAAGGAGCTAGATCAGAGAAGATCAGGGAATAAATTCCAAAGGAATCGATTGATATGCAGCAAATATAAACACTTTTGAAATTAAGTAACAATAACTAAGCAAATTCAAACGGACCTTATCCCGATGTAAGAAATTGAATGGGAATAGATCGTGAGGACTGCCAATTCACGTACAAACATCAATATGACTTTTTTCTTAAAATAGTATAAAAAATAGTAAAAATCTTATAATGAATAACCTACTTTATCAAAAAAAATTATCTTTAATATTTGAACCTGCACAGACGCGACTTTTAAATTATAATATTCACGTACGGACAATATTTCTATATTTAAAGTTCACGTGACAAGAGCACACCGGTGTATTCGAAAACTTAAATAAGAAAACTAGGTATATTTTCGGAAATTGTATTATGCTAAGGGGTCCGTGTAACACTTATCAATTCAAAATTTCAAAAAGTTTTCAAATTTTAGTTTTTTGATTTTTGACCAAAGTTTTAAAATATCAAAATTCCAAATTTTTTATTTTTTTTTTAAATTTTGAAAATTTCACCAAATAATTAAAATTTTAAAATTGTAAACTTCATTTTAAAATTTAATAGTTTAGATATTTAAGCAAACTTTAAAAATACTAAACTGAACGTACAGTTTTGATCATTTCGCTTTTTGAATTTTGAAATTTTTGATTTTTGATTAAAATATAGGAAAGGGGGAAAGGACTAAAAAGTGGATATCTGTTACAAGTACGAAACGGAATAAGAATGGAAGGAAACGAAATGAAATTTACCCAAACAAATCAAAACGAAAACAATATTTTCTGACAAACTAAATATAATAAAAATTATAAAACAAGAGGCTAACTTGTGACCTACCGAATTACTTATTACAGAGTTTGTAATAACACGAGCAACACGACGGGTTCCACATGCGGAGCAGGATCTGCTTACCCTTCCGGAGCACCTGAGATCACTCCTAGTTTGGTGGGGTTCGTGTTGCTCAGTCTTGAGTTTTCTATGTTGTGTTTTGTGTACTTTTGTTTGTCTATTGGTCTTTTTTTTTTAGCCATGGCGTTGTCTGTTTATTTTCGACATATGAGTTTGAATGTCCCTCTGTTATCTTTCGCCTCTCTTTTGTTTGATATACATGGCGAAAAAGAGAAATATGTTTCTTTAAGTCTAAAAAATAATTAGTAAGACCTGATTTTTACACACTTTGATTATCTAACTAAATTAACAATATGCAGAAATTACTTGTCGACTTTGTGATTACTGCTTTTTTTTCAATAGCGAATAAATGGAAACGGGATATTTGATTTTTGAAATAATGGATAGTTCCGTATATGTTATTTGCACTTTTGTAAGTTATCTTGCGACAATCAACTTTGAGCAAATACAAGTACGCAGCCACGTCCAGTCAGAATGGGGCGTGTATAAAGAGTGCCACACTCTCTGCACGTTACGAACTGTTACAACAACTCTTTGAGTGGTTCGTTGATTGCGTGATTTCTGTCCCTATCCAATATACCCTCTGAACAGTGTTCCAGCTAGGATTTCAAAAGGGCAGGGAGCCAATCATGAAAAGGGCACTTTAGCACGATGATTGATATTTCAAAAAGGGCATGTCAAACATTGTCTTATGATAACTGCAGGGGTTTCAGCTAAGAATTTTGAGGGGGTTTAGTCACTTTTACGCTAGATGAAAATCAACCTTATTTAAGGTAACAGTTTTCAAGAGACCATGCAAGGACGTATATTACTAGCTCAGTCTTCCCTAGAACTTTTTTTATGCATGGTAGGTCTAAGGTTAAGTTTTGTAGAATTATTTTTATTTCATTAGTGAAATGAATTGTGCATGTCAGTTAAAATACTACACTAGATCTGCAATACAGTCAGGAACAATACCTTACATTTTCTCCAGGGGCCAACCTGGACCCCAAAACTTTTTTCCAAGGGCCCAGTAGAAATTTTAAGGCCCTACCAGGGTATTTTTACTACAGGTACATACTTATTAATAGTCTTGAATGTTCTTATAAAGGCAATAATGTATGTTTGAAATGCCTAATACATGTAGCCCAGTGTTTCTGATTATGATAGAAATAATAAATGAATTATAATAAACCACATTGAGTTTTTCAGAATTAAAATCCATTTAACCATGTCTTTTCAGACTGTTAAACTTATATTTGTAATATTATATATAAAAAAATATATAAAAAAATCCCCCCCCCCCTTTTCCATTTTACACACCCCTAGATGTAGAGTATTAAAGTATTATCAGTTCAAGAAAGTATTCATTTTTAATGAAATAATCTTAGCAGTTAATCAAAATGAAAATCTTACTGTCTATAAATAACAATGAAATGTAACTGTTTCTTGTTAAAGGGGTTTTCCGAATTTTCCCGCCAAAAAAGCACATGGCTTTCAACAAATGTAAACAAAGCAGTTGATTTGTGATCATGGATTACAGCTTTAAGGTTCATCATAACAAAGGGACAAAAATGGCTGTATTTCCACATCAAAAACTACTCTGAGTACAGACTTACCTGTCCAGTTGGAAAAGTTTTAATGCCTGGCATCCACTAGATATATAAAAGCTAAATGCATTTTGTGTTTCAGAAAGATAAAAATTTTTTTGGATTTTGATGGGCATTTTTTTTCGTTCATGCAGAAGGTGTAAAAATAAACTAAGTTGGGATACAACTTTGAGATGTTCCCTCTCAGGTAAAAACTGTATTGTATTGTATTGATTGTCCTTGATTGACATGGACATTAGACAGACAATAGGTATCCACACAACTATAGGTGAGTTTAAAGGGTTTAACTGAGTGGACAGTATCAAAGTAATTCAGGTATTTGTTTATTTTTACACCTTCTGCAGAAAGGAAAAAAATGCCCATCAAAATCCAAGAGTAGTTTTTGATGTGGAAATACAGCCATTTTTGTCCATTTGTTATGATGAACCTTTGGAGGGAGGGTTTGTCGCTCGCGAACATTTTAAATGCCGCCACATTTTGTAAGTGTAAGTGTATGTCCAAAGGCAAGAGCCTGTTATTCAGTGGTTGTCGTTGGTTGCTGTCTAGCATATTTTGTTTTCGTTTATAGATTAGTACATAAATCAGGCCTTTAGTTTTCTTGTTTGAATTGTTTTACATTTTGTCATGCATGTGGCTTTTATAAGCTACCATACGGTATTTTATTTGCTCATTGTTGAAGGCCTTGTGGTGACCTATATATTCTTATATCTACGTTATTTGTTCTCTGTTGGATAGTTGGCTCATTAGCAATCACACCAAATCTACTTATTTTTATATAGAACATAACAGCTCTACGCATGGTACCACAACTATAGCCAGTCGAAAAGGAAGGCTGACCAAATGTATGTTATAGCGCGAGTGGAATACTACTGTTAGTTAATCCGACTATCACTCTTGACACACATATGGCAATGTGTTGTTTACAGTATTTATTTAATAAAACAGTGTACTTATTATCTTGAAAATGGAAAGAGCTAAAAACTATTTCTAGAATTTCACATTGTAGTGAGTTAAAAAAAAAATATTATGTAGTATTAGAGCATTTATTCTATTTAAACAAATGTTTTACTAATAAGGCCATGTAAAATAAATGCTATGTTAAACAGGCCAATTTTAAACTTTAACCATTACAGAGGCATAGAAACCATAATTTCGCCGAAAACAGAAAGCAAAACATTTGACCCCCCCCCCCTTTTAAAATACAAATTTTTGGTTTTATAATCATCTCATTTCAATATTACAAATGATTATAAGGGCAGGCTTTTATACAGTAAAACATTAATTTTCTTGGCCTTATACATTACATACACGTGCTGTGATAAAGGTAAACCCTCCTCGTTCCAGTCTTTGGTAAACATCTTTGAACTGCATTGCTGTTGCGAAAACTATACGTTTAAGGCCTCTTATTTTCATTTTGAGATCCTCAAGAACGTAGTCGGCAAATTGTTCATAAAGATTAAAACCTCTAAATTCTCTTCTCACTCGCCCTGACCGATAAGATGCAGTTTCTCCATTGTCTATTATGACAATTTGAACAAAATCCTATCTACAATAGTAAATGTAAATTATTTTTCAGCGCCTTTGCTCTCAAAATTTATATTCACTTTTGTATACAACTGTTTCCTGCATTTTGTGTTAGCTTTTACCAGATTAGGATATTCATTTTCAAAATCCTCCTCCTACCCCCTCTAAATCAGATGGTAGTCCCTTAAGTACATGTATACAATAAAGATTTTGCAAAAAAGAGACTAGTCATGTAACATTACAGGACAGCAACACAATAACACACGAAAAAAAAATACATGTAGGATGAAATTGGAAAATCATTGATCGTTTTCAGATAAAACCTATAACTCGTATAAGTACGATGAATTCTTAGCCTCTTCTTATCTTTTGAAAAGTATCCACCAAAGCGAAAGGCTATTTGATTACTTAAGACTTATGGTAGGGTAAGTATAATCTGATGGCAAATCAACCTACACGACGGCATTACATTGGAATGGTATATTCCTGAAGAATTTTTTTTTTATTTTCTTCAATAAATTTATATTTACTTTAAGACATGCCAATTTGAAATCTAAATCAATTTAAAGCCTCGTATTGACACATGACATTCCGAAATCTACCTACTACTAAAAAATTATAAATAGCACTCTGATTTTCTGATATTTTCAGTGAGTATAACATGTACCACATCTACTTTTAAACTGTAATGCAAATACATGCACAAATAGTTGCGCTCAAAATGGTTAAACTGTATTTCACATTCAGCCAAAATTTCATTCGTGGATTGTCAGTTGCTATTGCCACATGTGAAGCAGGATCTGCTAACCCTTCCGGAGCACCTGAGATCAACCCCGGCTTTTTTTGAAATGGCGTTGTCAGTTTTTTTATTGGCTAATAAGTATGAATGTTCCTTTAGTATCTTTCGCCTCTCTTTTAAAGAAACAACACCATGCATCAACATCACTTTCCTGTTATCAGAGTAGGGCCCCTTTTAAATATGTTCTGAATTTGAGTGGGTACATTGGTGGTTCGACACCACCTCAGTGACCTACTTTGCAGAACCTACTTAATATGAATATGCATGAAAATTTTGCCACTGGGTGTCAAGTTAATTATTTGCACTTACTATTTTATCATCGACTAAGCAGACGTATGGATAGCAAAGTTGATTTTTTATAAGTATATGAAAATAATCAGACAAATAGTCTTCTTCGTTTTCGCCGTCTTGTAGAATAGATATGACGCCATCATAGTCTTCGGCTGTTGCCCGTCTCACCCACCAGTTAACACCTAACATATCTAGCTACTATAATTGAAATAAAATTGAACGTATGAGAGTAAATGGAAATGCGGGGAATATGTAAATGAGACAGCAACTCAACGAGACAAACATGCTTAACTGTTAAGACAAATGTTTGTCAATATACATGAACAGTTATCAAATAATTAACAACTGACTATACAGGCTATAGATTAGTGAAGGATAGGTTTAAATGTTGCTATGCGAATGAATTCCTGGAGTACCAACTTCAACTTATTTTTCTACTGGCTGTATATTACCTTTCTGGAACAAGCCAAGTATCCGTATATGTAAGGAGCTAGATCAGAGAAGATCAGGGAATAAATTCCAAAGGAATCGATTGATATGCAGCAAATATAAACACTTTTGAAATTAAGTAACAATAACTAAGCAAATTCAAACGGACCTTATCCCGATGTAAGAAATTGAATGGGAATAGATCGTGAGGACTGCCAATTCACGTACAAACATCAATATGACTTTTTTCTTAAAATAGTATAAAAAATAGTAAAAATCTTATAATGAATAACCTACTTTATCAAAAAAAATTATCTTTAATATTTGAACCTGCACAGACGCGACTTTTAAATTATAATATTCACGTACGGACAATATTTCTATATTTAAAGTTCACGTGACAAGAGCACACCGGTGTATTCGAAAACTTAAATAAGAAAACTAGGTATATTTTCGGAAATTGTATTATGCTAAGGGGTCCGTGTAACACTTATCAATTCAAAATTTCAAAAAGTTTTCAAATTTTAGTTTTTTGATTTTTGACCAAAGTTTTAAAATATCAAAATTCCAAATTTTTTATTTTTTTTTTAAATTTTGAAAATTTCACCAAATAATTAAAATTTTAAAATTGTAAACTTCATTTTAAAATTTAATAGTTTAGATATTTAAGCAAACTTTAAAAATACTAAACTGAACGTACAGTTTTGACCATTTCGCTTTTTGAATTTTGAAATTTTTGATTTTTGATTAAAATATAGGAAAGGGGGAAAGGACTAAAAAGTGGATATCTGTTACAAGTACGAAACGGAATAAGAATGGAAGGAAACGAAATGAAATTTACCCAAACAAATCAAAACGAAAACAATATTTTCTGACAAACTAAATATAATAAAAATTATAAAACAAGAGGCTAACTTGTGACCTACCGAATTACTTATTACAGAGTTTGTAATAACACGAGCAACACGACGGGTTCCACATGCGGAGCAGGATCTGCTTACCCTTCCGGAGCACCTGAGATCACTCCTAGTTTGGTGGGGTTCGTGTTGCTCAGTCTTGAGTTTTCTATGTTGTGTTTTGTGTACTTTTGTTTGTCTATTGGTCTTTTTTTTTTTAGCCATGGCGTTGTCTGTTTATTTTCGACATATGAGTTTGAATGTCCCTCTGTTATCTTTCGCCTCTCTTTTGTTTGATATACATGGCGAAAAAGAGAAATATGTTTCTTTAAGTCTAAAAAATAATTAGTAAGACCTGATTTTTACACACTTTGATTATCTAACTAAATTAACAATATGCAGAAATTACTTGTCGACTTTGTGATTACTGCTTTTTTTTCAATAGCGAATAAATGGAAACGGGATATTTGATTTTTGAAATAATGGATAGTTCCGTATATGTTATTTGCACTTTTGTAAGTTATCTTGCGACAATCAACTTTGAGCAAATACAAGTACGCAGCCACGTCCAGTCAGAATGGGGCGTGTATAAAGAGTGCCACACTCTCTGCACGTTACGAACTGTTACAACAACTCTTTGAGTGGTTCGTTGATTGCGTGATTTCTGTCCCTATCCAATATACCCTCTGAACAGTGTTCCAGCTAGGATTTCAAAAGGGCAGGGAGCCAATCATGAAAAGGGCACTTTAGCACGATGATTGATATTTCAAAAAGGGCATGTCAAACATTGTCTTATGATAACTGCAGGGGTTTCAGCTAAGAATTTTGAGGGGGTTTAGTCACTTTTACGCTAGATGAAAATCAACCTTATTTAAGGTAACAGTTTTCAAGAGACCATGCAAGGACGTATATTACTAGCTCAGTCTTCCCTAGAACTTTTTTTATGCATGGTAGGTCTAAGGTTAAGTTTTGTAGAATTATTTTTATTTCATTAGTGAAATGAATTGTGCATGTCAGTTAAAATACTACACTAGATCTGCAATACAGTCAGGAACAATACCTTACATTTTCTCCAGGGGCCAACCTGGATCCCAAAACTTTTTTCCAAGGGCCCAGTAGAAATTTTAAGGCCCTACCAGGGTATTTTTACTACAGGTACATACTTATTAATAGTCTTGAATGTTCTTATAAAGGCAATAATGTATGTTTGAAATGCCTAATACATGTAGCCCAGTGTTTCTGATTATGATAGAAATAATAAATGAATTATAATAAACCACATTGAGTTTTTCAGAATTAAAATCCATTTAACCATGTCTTTTCAGACTGTTAAACTTATATTTGTAATATTATATATAAAAAAATATATAAAAAAATCCCCCCCCCCCCTTTTCCATTTTACACACCCCTAGATGTAGAGTATTAAAGTATTATCAGTTCAAGAAAGTATTCATTTTTAATGAAATAATCTTAGCAGTTAATCAAAATGAAAATCTTACTGTCTATAAATAACAATGAAATGTAACTGTTTCTTGTTAAAGGGGTTTTCCGAATTTTCCCGCCAAAAAAGCACATGGCTTTCAACAAATGTAAACAAAGCAGTTGATTTGTGATCATGGATTACAGCTTTAAGGTTCATTATAACAAAGGGACAAAAATGGCTGTATTTCCACATCAAAAACTACTCTGAGTACAGACTTACCTGTCCAGTTGGAAAAGTTTTAATGCCTGGCATCCACTAGATATATAAAAGCTAAATGCATTTTGTGTTTCAGAAAGATAAAATTTTTTTTGGATTTTGATGGGCATTTTTTTTCGTTCATGCAGAAGGTGTAAAAATAAACTAAGTTGGGATACAACTTTGAGATGTTCCCTCTCAGGTAAAAACTGTATTGTATTGTATTGATTGTCCTTGATTGACATGGACATTAGACAGACAATAGGTATCCACACAACTATAGGTGAGTTTAAAGGGTTTAACTGAGTGGACAGTATCAAAGTAATTCAGGTATTTGTTTATTTTTACACCTTCTGCAGAAAGGAAAAAAATGCCCATCAAAATCCAAAAAAGATTATATCTTTCTGAAACACAAAATGCACTTAACTTTTATATATCTAGTGGATGCCAGGCATTAAAACTTTTCCAACTGGACAGGTAAGTCTGTACTCAGAGTAGTTTTTGATGTGGAAATACAGCCATTTTTGTCCATTTGTTATGATGAACCTTAATTAATTTAATTTGGATATAGATATTCAATGAAAGGTACAGTCAAGCATTGTTTTTACTTTCTTCTGGATTAAAACTAGTTTAAAAGATCAATTTAAAAAAAAAAATCTTTGACATATAAACAACAGACGATCTACGGATGTACATCAAACGCAAATTGTCATCTTTTGAGAAATATTGAAATTGAAATGCTGACTGACCAAATTTAATGAGAAAAATTATTACAATGGTCAATTATGAAGTTTAATTAACGGATTAATGACCCATCCGATGTCGATAAGCGGATTATCTGTAATCACAACTTATTACACCTGCTGTAAATGTTAATTAGCTGAGGGTCATAAACTTGTCATAAATATGAAGACAGGTAGAATAATTGTATTTTCATCAAAATATTACGGCAATAAAGGCATGGATTTACGAAAAAGGGCAGGGCGTCTTAAAAAGGGAACAGGGCGTCAGAAAAAGGGCACAAGGCGGCACTCGGGAAAGGGCGGGCGGACCGCCCTGTGAAAACGACCTAGCTGGAATGAGG